TGAGATTACTGCCTGTTACCGAGCAAAAGTAGGTGTATTATATTAGGACGCAGACCGAACTTTCTTAGTATATTCGTTTTAGGAATTTAAAATACGTTTCAAAGAAGAAATGTGCAAAAATCAAGAGGACAAGTTCAAATCAAATTTCCGTTTACCGCCATGGATTCCCGCGCTCATTTACACACTCACACAAGCGCGCAGCGCCGAACCTAGCTTCACTTTTTCCCCGTGCTTTTAGATACGAGCGCTCCGTCTTTATGTCTTTGCTTTGATCAAATCACTATTATGATTTTAAGTAAGCAACTTTCCATCTGTTTGTTATCAGTCTTCTTTCGGTAGTCAAATTTGTGTTCCATTGTAGCTTCGTAGCCAGAGAGACTATTCGTAGCACAAAGCGCAACTGAAACTTATAGGTGTGATATCAATACACCGCGTAACCGCAAATTTCTTCCGGCTTTACGTATTCGTGCTCCATAATTGTGTCAGCGTGTCATTTCGAAAACATCCCGTCAGAGTTGGCATTAGTGTGACTCCTTCGTTGGTGGTTTAAGAAATTTGTAATTTGCTCTACTCGTCTCAAAAACAATGCTGTCCTTAATCAATCGAATATTGGATTGGTTCAAAAGTTTACTATGGAAGGAAGAAATGGAGTTAACGTTAGTAGGTCTCCAATGCTCTGGCAAAACAACATTTGTCAATGTTATCGCGGTAAGTTTCTCTCCCTGTATATAGTTTTCTGAGCCTCATGACTCAGTCTTTTGAATGCAAGAAAGTTCCTGCTCTTAGACTTTTCGTATACAGGAAAATGGTTTTAAATTTTCTTCTTGATTCAATTTTCAATGGGCCTGTTGCACCAATTTATTTTATTGCTTTAATTGAAAGAACTAAGGCTCCCTATGTCACAGGAATTTTCCCGGAGTTTTTTGATCACCGGAAACCCCCAAAAAATCATCTTAAAAACGCCTCAGAATTTGGATTTCCAAAACGGTTGTTTCATATTGCCATACTTGTGACAAGAAATGATATGACAGACCTGGTTTCTTCATCACTTACAATGTATTTTCCCGTAAGGAAATGGCAGCCGCTTTTCAAATGCAAATATCGAGTCAATCGATAATTTTTTGATCAAAATGGAAATCAGAAATGGATTCCTCGTACGTTTAAATGGTTTAAATATTCATTAGATTCATAAGAACCGATGGGATAAACCCTATTTTTAAGGAAGACTGTAGTCAATTGGCGATTGTTTACATCTGCTTAGTGATAACAGACATGGACATTAGCTCAATATTTGGCCATTTTCATGAGTTTTTACTTCTTTTTCACCATTTGAAGGTAAGTTTATTTTGTGAATCAATTGTTTAGTGCCTTAGAATCATGTTAAAAGCTGACAAGGTATACTCTGTTACTTATTAATTCAGAACACACTCCGGCAGTCCAACGCTCAAACCTGGATGTAGCGAGTCAGTTGTTATTTCTTACTATTTCACCCTTTATTGCTTCACTGAAGACACCAAAATGATAGTATCAATCATTGATGATGAAAAAAACTTACCTTTGACAATACTGATTAGATGAGGAGACTGGTATGTTTTAGCTGGAGGCAAGGAAAGTAGACGTAGGATCCTTCTTCGGTTACCAGACCTCATTGATAAATTTTTCTGTATAGTGTTACACTTAAAACACACAGGATTTTAAAATAACATAAGTTCATTAAACGTGGGAACATTCTGAATGATATTGAGATGTTTGTTGAAGAGTTAAGAATGATTTACACGCATTGAGAGAACATCCATGGTTTGAGGGTTGGACTGCCGGAGTGTGTTCTGAATTTATAAGTAACAGAGTATACCTTGTCAGCTTTTAACATGATCCTAAGGCACTAAACAATTGATTTACAAAATAAACTTACCTTCAAATAGTGACAGAAAAGTAAAAACTCATGAAAATGGCCAAATATTGAGCTAATGTCCATGTCTGTTATCACTGAGCAGATGTAAACAATCGCCCATTGACTACAGTCTTCCTAAAAAAGAGGGTTTATCCTGTCGGTTCTTATTTATCTAATGAAGGTTTTAACCATTTAAACGTATGAGGAATCCATTTCTGATTTCCATTTTGATCAAAAAATTATTGGTTGACTCGATATTTGCATTTGAAAAGCGGCTGCCATTTCCTTACGGGAAAATACTTTGTAAGTGATGAAGAAACCAGGTCTGTCATATCATTTCACGTCACAAGCACAGAATCCACCAATCACAAGTATGGCGGTTGAAAAACGACCGTTTTGAATGGGTTGGTTCCAAAAACAGCTTTTTTTGAGTTTGAGAGGTCATTTCAAGGTTTTTTAGTAGCGCCACTGTTCTTTTCGTGAAATTTGCCATAAGAATCAGGCATCAATTTGCAAATCCCCGCACCTTGCAACAGGCCCATTATTACCTACTCTCAGCACTGAGGCGAGTGTTCTGCAGTAGGGATGGTCAAATATTTCAATAATCGAATATTCGATATTTGAAATATCGTCACTGAGATAATTGCATCATAATTGAATGTTGGTGGAAGTATTCGAATACTCGATTATTATTTGATTAATATTTGCTAAGCTAAAATTGTGATTTTCTCCTTCTTACCCTCCTACAGTCCGAAATTACGAGGTTAAAAAATTCCCCTCTAGACCCGCGGAACATTCAGTACAGAGCTGCATGCCTTGGAGTCCGAGTTACCACCAGTATGATGTGAAAAAAGTTCATCGTATGGAGAAATTTTTCCTGAAGTGCGAAAAATAGAGCTATGTGCAAGCTTTGTTCCACCACCCTATTATATTTGTGGAGCACTGTTACAGAAAAATGAAAAATCCGAGTAATAATCAGAAAGATTCGAATATTTGCTTTGAAGTATTCCAAATTGCAAGATTTGATTTCTTAAATAATTGCAATCAAAAAGTTGCAATCAAATAATCGCATCCGAATTTGATGTTAGTCCATTCCTACTGCAGAGATTCCTTCTATGAGCTCCAAAGGTAGGGTTGACAGAAAATCCTACCAAATTTCCATCGGAAACTGTCTGATACGCAGTTTGGAGCATTGATGTTCCCTTTCTGCTGACTCTATTCGGTGACCTGTGCTGCCTTTGACGCAAAGCCCACAACCCTGCCGGAATAGCACAGCAAATGTAACTTTTATTGCTGAAGGTGTATGGATTCATCCTCATTTTAAAATTTATATTTTATATTATTTGTCAGGTTACATGACAATGTAACTTTTGAAAATTTTCAGAATTGCAGGGCTCTTCTAAGAGGGAACTTTTCAAAAGGAAAATCTGCACAATTTCTCTTTCTTTATTTATAGGAAAAGGAATTCTAGTTATACTTACCGACCATAAGGACTACTAAAAATACAAACAAGGAATATCAAATTTATTCTATGTAAAGCCTCATACCTACTTCTGTTTCTTGCCTACTATGTTACATTAATTTCTGTCTTTGAAGTCTTTTTTTTCCTGTGAGGAAAAGAAAAAGTTATTGGATGATCCAGGATCCACGTCAAATTAGGGTTTCTGTGTACCCTTAAAATACAGGGACCTAGGTCCAAAGATTTATCTGAAGCAAGAGGATCAAAACCTGCTATCTAACCACTTTAGGAGTTAAATCCAGTGATTTTTACTGTGCGATTGGTGTTCTACAGGAAAATTTGAAGAAAAAGTATTTATGAGAATGCATAAATGTGCTTTGTCTAGTGGTCCATCCTGGTTGAGGTACCTCTATATTGAACCTAATGCTCCATGCAGAGATAATAATAATAATGATAATTATTCTTTATTTTTAATTTGTATAAGAACATAAAATAGTGTCAGAAAAAAACAAAGAGTTATAAAAATATTAAACTAAGACTGAAACAACTTTAGAAGAACCTTACAGGAGTATAAACAATTACTAAAAAATTATCAACAGAATACAGACATATCTCCACTCATACGGCTGTACAATCTCTCTTAAAGGTGTATAAAGTGGTGGATTGTTGTATGCAGGGCCGGACTGGCCATAGGGGCGGGGAGGCGATCGCCCCCTAAAAATTTGCCGCAGAAGCCCTGGAGGGGCCCCTGCGGCGATTTTTTCGATTCGTCGTTTTTTTGTTCCCGGTAATGTTGTAATTTTCCAATCCTTCACAGTCACTACCATGCCTCAAAATCCTTGAAAATTTGTCTCTAAAAGACATAAAAGGTCGCCTAAAGTTTATAATGCAGAATATACAGGGAAATCTAGTGGGTTCCTGGGGCCCCAGAAATGATGAAGGGGCCCGGGCCTCCGAAGAATCCTGAAAATGGGTTATTTTGAAGTTCAAACACTCTTGAATTTGACTCCAAAAATGCCTAAAATCGCGTTTAAAAAGTGTGAAATTTTTAAAATTTTCCGGGGGAGGGGTTCCCAAATCTAGGTTGCCTCCTAACTTTTCGACTGCCAGTCCACCCCTGGTTGTATGGACTGTGGGAGCTTGTAAAAGAAAGTATGTTCAGTTGTTAAAACATTACATTTGTCCCACTTTGAGCTGACTTTATTTCACGTTTGACGATTTTTTCCCCCAGTGTTGTAAATATTGAAATATTTTTTCGATTTTAACTGGTGCTTTTCCATAAAGAAAATTATGAGAACTTGATACTCGTATGGAGATGGAGTCGTCAGAATTTTGTTGACTGTGAATAAAACACTGCACGAGTCTATTTTCCTTTTTTTGAACATGGTTCTCAGAGCTTTGTTTTGAAGTTTAAAGATCTCATCCAGTTGGTTTTGGTTACAAGTACCCCAAACTGTTATACAGGGTGGGGCAAAAGTCTGGAGACGGCTGGATATTTTTTGAACGGCTGGAGTTAGAGAAACGAGCTTTAAGGTAAGCTCCTAGACCAAAAGAAATTATCTTTTGAGGGGGTCAAAATTTTGGGGGGACCAAGGGGGCCCCCCTAACTTTTTCAAATAGCAACCCCCATCTTGTGACACGTCATTCAAAAGGGCATAAAAAAAGAAAACTTTCGGCGCAAACCGGAAGTCTCTACCTATCACTGAAACAAAAAGGCAGCCTGAAATCTGTCGAAAATCGGTATTCCGACTTGTATCAAAGATTCGACTTCGAATTTGGTACCTGGGGGTTTTTTGGGTCGGGAAAAACGAATTTGGCATTGAATTTTCAAAATCTTTGCCTCATTTCAAAATGGCGGCTTAAAACCGGTCGAAACCCGGTTTTTCGGCTGTTAATCAATGGAGTCGCTCAAAATAATTTTGAGTAATTTCCAATCTAACGCAAAATTCCAAATTCCAAAACCTACCTCCTAAAAAGCGGCAAAAAATCAAAATTGATCATTTCGGCTTTACTAACCCACGCATAAACTGGACATTGGTGTTTTAGAGAAATTAGAGATAGACAAGAGAGACAGAGAGGAAAGTACATTTTTGCTACAATGAAAGAAATTAAGTCTGATATCTAGACCGTGAAGATTCCTACTGGTATCAACTATTCCTACTGGTATCCTACTCGAGGTCACTTTCGTTGCGATAAGCGCAAGGTAGATCATAATCTTCCTGATTAAATTGGTGAAGGTTGTCAAGATTTTACACTGTTTCAGTTTTTCTGTTCCTCTCATGTTTATTGCGGTATACTTCTAACTTTCGTCCACCTTAAACAATACCCGTTGTGGCAACTAAGGTACATCCTCTGAATCAAAGCTTAATCAGGATGCTGGTGTCGACGGCTGATAACATTTTCATTTTCAGCCTTTATTTCTCTAATTTAAATCTGGAAATCAGTCCTAACTTCGTGTACGCCGAAAGATTTACTGAAAAGGTTTCCTCTCGCGGTCTACGTTGTTTAAACGTGATTTTTTATTAAATTATCGCGGTTTACGGTATTCCGTGCAATTTTTTCCTTGAATCATGGCGAAACTTAGTGAAAAAGAAAGAGTAACTCTCTTAATGATTCGTGGTTTCGGTGATAGAGAAAGATCTTACGACCAGGTGCGGCAAATTTTCAACCAAACGTTCAATCAGCGCCCTCCTATTTCATAATCAGCCGTTGAAAAAACTGTCAAAAGATTTTCGGATACGGGTTCCGTGAAAGATGGTGTTCGAAGTGGTAGACCCCTGTCCACAACTTCCCCGGAGAAAACTGAGGAGGTGCTCCTTACTTATCAGGAAAATCCGCGAACTTCAACGAGAAAAGTAGCTCAAGCGACCGATACTGATAAACGTTCTGTTGCGCGTATTCTAAAAAAACACAATTATTACCCCTACAAATGTCATAGTGTTCAGGAGTTAAATGAAGACGACTATCCAAAACGCGTAGATTATTGTGAAAAACTTCGTTCGAAAATTGATAATCAACCAGATTTTCTTAACTTAGTTCTTTTCTCTGATGAGGCAACTTTTTACCTTAATGGTGCCGTAAACAAGTATTACGAAAGATTATGGACGGATGAAAATCCGCGGTGCTATCGTGAAATCCATACTCAAAACCCCCAAAAGGTAAACGTATGGTGTGGCATGATCGGTGGGCACACCATCGGGCCTTTTTTTATCGCAGGTAATTTAGATGGCGAATTTTATCTTGCACTACTTCAAACTCAAATCATACCCGCTATTCAAAACTTGTTTCCCGGGGAAGATTTTCAAAAAGTGTGGTTTCAACAAGAAGGAGCGCCCCCACATTACAGTTTAATCGTTCGAGAGTATTTGCACGCAACTTTTCCGAATCGTTTGATTGCCCGAGGCGTCGTAGGAAATATTTCGATCGCTTGGCCTGCACGGTCACCTGACTTGACCCCTTTAGACTTTTTCCTATGGAGACATTTAAAAGATAGAGTTTCCAAAGTTAAACCGCAGTCAGTCAGTGGCAGAGTTAAGAGAAAGTATTCGACACGAGGTTGAAGAAATTACACCAGAGATGCTGGCAAATGCAATTTTTGCAACGTTTGTTCGCTTAGGTCACTGCGAAATTACAGAAGGTCGGCAATTTGAACACTTGCTGTAAACTGGTAAGTCACCAAACAATTTATTTTCCTTTCTTTTGCGTTGGATTGGAAATTACTTAAAATTATGTAATTGAAAATTGAAACATGTGAATGAGAGGCAAAAGCGTGTTAAACCTTTCAATCGTGGACATTTTGGGAATAAAATTACCATATCCGCATTCCCCGAACTAAGAAACTGCCCCGATTTTATTTTTTGAGCGACTCCATTGATTAACAGCCGAAAAACTGGGTTTCGACCGGTTTTAGGCCGCCATTTTGAAATGAGGCAAAGATTTTGAAAATTCAATGCCAAATTCGTTTTTCCCGACCCAAAAAACCCCCAGGTACCAAATTCGAAGTCGAATCTTTGATACAAGTCGGAATACCGATTTTCGATAGATTTCAGGCTGCCATTTTGTTTCAATGATAGGTAGAGACTTCCGGTTTGCGCCAAAAGTTTTCTTTTTTTATGCCCTTTTGAATGACGTGTCACAAGACGGGGGTTGCTATTTGAAAAAAAAAAGTTAGGGGGGCTGGGGGGCCCCCTTGGTCCCCCCAAAATGTTGACCCCGTCAAAAGATAGTTTCTTTTGGTCTAGGAGCTTACCACAAAGCTCGTTTCTCTAACTCCAGCCGTTCAAAAAATATCCAGCCGTCTCCAGACTTTTGCCCCACCCTGTACAGTAGTTAATATGACCGTACCTAGAAAAAAGAATAGTATAATGATAAAAGTAATTTAACATCACAAAATTTCACAAAATAATTTAGAACGAAATAAGCTTTGGATAATTTGGTTTTGAGTTCACACAGATGATCAGACATTTTCAATTCATTGTCCAGAACAAAACTTAGATGTTTAAATCTTGAAACCTCACTAAGTACAATATTTCCCAACAAAACCGTTGGGTTAGGCAGTAGACTGCAGTTTATAATTAGTCCAGGCGCCTGGTAAGTCTACCTGGAATTTTGGGTACACAGCGATTTTTTTGGTTTAAGTACTTGATGTTTTTTGGGTCGCTAAATCCGAATCTGAAGTTTCCTACCGCGTATCTGGTGAGCATTTTCCGCCATTTTGAAAAAATGGCCTAAAAAGGCCTTTTTTGCGGTTTTTTTTATATAGCGGCTACGCATGATAAAAAATCCTGGATTTAGCTAATGTTTTGAATAGCTGACAAAATTTGAAAGAAAATGGTATATGAATATGCTAGGTTTGCTCAAAAATTGAGGAACCTCGGATCACGGAACTTTGGAACGCCTCGGAACTTAGCTGACCGCGGCGAGCCGGATCACGCGTTAACGGGTGCGCCGCGAAAACGTGAATGGGCGCGATGTTCACGATGCTGTATCTTCCTCAATTTGTAAGCAAACCTAGCATATGTATACACCATTTTCTTCCAAATTTTGTCAGCTATTCAAAACATTAGCTAAATCCGGTTTTTTTTCCTCATGCGTAGCCGCTACATAAAAAAAAAAAAAACCGCAAAAAAAGGCCTTTTTAGGCCATTTTTTCAAACTGGCGGAATATGCTCACCAGATACGCGGTAGGAAACTTCAGATTCGGATTCAGCGACCCAAAAAACATAGAGGAAGCCAAAAAAATCGCTGTGTACCCAAAATTCCAGGTAGCCTCATTTTTAGCTACCAGGCGCCTGGACTAAATCATATAGTTGGTTTTTTCTGTGTTTACATTTAATCCATTGAAATTGCACCATTGTAAGAAATAATTTATGAGCACACATACATCACTTTCGAGCTCATCTATCAGTTTATTGCCGATCTTGAAAAGAATATCATCTGCAAAAAGTGAAATAATTAAGATAGAACGGATTAAGCTAGCTTTTAATTTTAAGTTCAGATAATCAGCTAAATCATTGATGAAAATAAGAAATACAATAGGTCCCAGAATTGAACCTTGTGGAACATCGCAAAGTATCCCCATTAAAAGGGAGAAAGTATCTATATTCTGTCAAGTTATTTTTATGTATTGTTTTCTGTTCCTAAAGTAGTTATCCAACCATTCAACAAAAAATTTATCAAGCCCTATTTGAGTAAGCTTTAATTTTAAAACATCAAAATTCACAGAATCAAACGCCTTGGAAAGGTCAAAGGATACAATTACAGAACTTAGATTGTTCTTATTATTGGCTGCAATTTTCTCAATCACTGAACTGATAGCAGACTGTCGATAATTTACGTCCGAACCCGTATTGCAAATCATGCAGTAAATTATTCTGAGATAAGTGGGTTTCAATTTTCTTAAATACCACCAATTCAAAAACTTTTGTTACAGAGGACACCAGAGACAAGGGCCTGTAATTATTTAGCTCTAAATTATCATCCGTTTTGTACAATGTATATACCCTAACAGTTTTCAGCCCCTGTGGAAATACACAAGCTGTAAAAGAATGATTGATGAATCGTGTAAGACTAGATACAGCTGGAGACTTAAGTAGGGTTACAGAGCCGTCTGGTTGCTTTCAAGTTTCAAGACGGTAATTTTTACACCAGTCATGGCAACCTTTCTGAAATACTCACAATCAGCTGTATTTTTGCATGGGGAGTTTTATTTTAGCGTTGGCCTCTCTTACATAGCAGATAAATTGTTGGCTCCTCACATGCATAACAATTTTTTAACTCTCCATTTTTAATTATTTGTTTTAGTCCAACCAGTTCAGCGAAGACATGATACCCACTGTAGGATTCAACATGCGGAAAATTACCAAAGGCAATGTCACCATCAAAGTTTGGGACATAGGAGGTCAGCCAAGATTCCGCTCTATGTGGGAAAGATATTGTCGGGGTGTGAACGCAATCGTGTATGTATCAACGTAGCAACTTTTTTTGGAGTGCTATGCACAGTGTATCAATACTCAATCAGGGGTGCAGAAACTGCTCAAGAGGGCAAGCTCTGACTTATGTGTAGCAAGTAGAATCTGTGCGCTTGTGAGGAAAGAGTTACATTTCTTTTCTTTTTTCAAAAACTGAAGAGGGTTAAGAAAAACGTGCTGACTCATGAATATTTTCATCCTACAACTGGTAATTTGACACCTTTTTCAAGGAAGGATATAATCGAGCTGAGATTTTTACTAATCTTTGAGAGTGCGCGTGTGCACTCAGTCATGCAATTACTGGTCATTTAAGGGCTCACAGCACACTCTTATTGAAGCTTAGATCCTTTTTGTAAACCTCCAATCTGCTGAACGGTAATTGTAGCCCCACCCCCTTCTCATCCTCTATATCTACCTTTGAAACCTGTCTTGTAGGTCTGAAGCCTCTCCCAAAAATTAAGCAAAGCCACAAAATATTGACGAATTTTATCATTATCTTTGCAAAACCATCCACAAGTCTTGGAAACCCTCTGCATTGATTTTTAATTTCTCCTTTAAGATTAAGGCTCATCTGTCAGCATGAGTTCGAGAAAGAAGACCCCCGCAAAACGAGTAATTTCGAATTTGTCAAAATTCGAAATTCACCCTTACTTCAAGCAGGTGCTGTTTGACAGCTTGTGGTCTTCTGTCCCCTAAATAGTTTTAATATAATAATTCCAGGTATATGGTTGATGCGGCTGATAATGAAAAAATTGAAGCATCACGGAATGAGTTACATCAACTTGTTGACAAACCAGCCTTAGCAGGCATACCAATTTTAGTTTTGGGAAATAAGAGAGATCTGCCAAATGCTCTGGATGTTAAGGAGCTCATCGATAGAATGTAAGTAGTTTTCCAACTTTTAGCAGTGACCTTGTTTACACCAAGAAAAAAAAACACAGTTATGCTACCATTACAACGGTAGTGATGTCACACAGGATTCCACGGTAGTAGAACCGTGGATTTTGATTCTTGTATCAATGCGCACGCATGGTTCGTTTGAGTAAAAGTTAAATGCAATTTTCTATCACTCACAAAGTCTTTTCGGATTCGAAAAATAGAGTGAAAATGGAGTCTTTCTAGCTAAAAATGAAAATAGGTTTTTCGAGCCCCTTTATTTAAGGTATTTTTTAAAGCTTATGGTGGACAGGATTGAAGCAGAAATGTCGAGGTGCTCGATCTGCGAAGGGCTGTAGGTCAACAGGGGGAAATGGCGTCAGGTTTAGAAGAGTATCAGGGTGTGCTGTAAAGCGACATGTATGTATGTAAGTGATGAAGATCTAAAATAAGACATACCCTGATAGGTGCCAGACAGACCATTCTGCATGACATTATGACAAAACAACCTTTATGGTATGGTCATGTCCAGAGAATAACATAAGGCAGGTTGCCAAAGAATTAGATTTTAAATAGAATTAGAATATAGAAATTTTAAAATATATAGCTACATATTTTAAAAGGAAGATTACATTGGAAGCTCTAAAATCATTACTCTTAATCCTACTATTCGCTGATGACATCCTAATGGTTTTCCGCAGTCAATGTCTAGAGAATCTCGAAAAAGACACCTATGTACTCATGAATTACTTACTTCAGTGGTGCAAAATGAACTTCCTGAATTTTAATGAAGAAAAGACAGTATTTATGCTGATACATACTAGAATTAAATGTAAATATATTCGTGGATGAAAGGCAATTAGAAGAAGTAAACGCACTAAAATATCTTGGACTCTACCTTGATGATAAATTAAACTTTGAAATGCATTGTGACAAAATAAGATTTTGTCCTGAGGATGTTAAGTAAATTCTGCGATAAAAAACTTCTTCTACTAGCCTATCACGCACTAGTCGAGTCTCATATAAATTACTGTATCAATACTTGGTCATGCGCGAGTAATAAACAGATAGAGGAAATCTTTATTCTCCAAAAAAAATCAATCAGAACCATTCTGAAACTGAAGCAAGATACATCATGCCGAGAACACTTCATAAAAAATGAGATATTAACATTACCGGCCAAAATAATTATGAGTCACTTAAAATTACTGGCCAAAAGGCTGAAGGGAGATAAGGCAGAGACACATGGGTATGGCACAAGATATCACCAATTTAGCAGTTTATCAAAGAACGACGCATACCTAACAAAGGCATAGAAATTCTTTGATAAATTGCCAAATATTATACAGGAAAGCATATATAGTCCAACATTCGGTAAGCTGGCCACAAGGCATTTGATTGCAAAATACCCGTACTCAATCAATGAATTTTTGAATGTCAATGAATGAATTTAAGACGATTCGTATGTAAATATGTTTATACCTATCAGTACCTTTATTTAGAAAATGGCGTTTTTGTGAAGCCAAATGTGCAAAAAGCAAAAGAATAAATAAATAAATAAAAATAAATAAATAAAATAAAAAAAGATGATTCTTACAATGGCCATCTCGGGCATTTTATTGCTGATCATTGTGTAAAAAGTTTTTAATGAGAAGATTTGTACATCAAATATAAAAATATAAGATTAAAAGCAGATTGCGCAGTTGCCCTATGGTGATAAGTGATTTGTTTTTTACACTAAGTTTGTTGCCAATGAAGAAAATAAAAAAGTAGAATGAGCAGGTAACCTTGGAGTTATTATTAGTTTTCATGATGCATTTGTCCTTTCATAGGAGATTCATCTACGCAGTGAATTGAGACCCAAGATTTCGTTTGGGTATGTGTACGCCTTTGGAAAGGAGCTGATTACAGTGCTCTTCCCATTTCTTATTAAGGATTTTTAGAATATCACATTTTTTGTATCAGTCATTTGCAGAAATTGCTATGATTATGTATGATTCTTTGTCGTACTCTTTGGGTTCAAGGTAGATTTTAAGAAGCTGATTGATCATTGGGTAAAATGCAAACAATCTGTGATTTCTGCAGTGGTACGACTAATTGGAAATTATAAAATCTATGTAACTTGGCCACTAGTCTGACTTAGGGTAGTTTATGAAACATAGCCTGACGTCAGGCTGATTCACTTTTACTATGGATTTCACGTAAACATTTCAAAAATTCACCCTCCTGCCTTTCAAATTTGGCCGCCATCTTGACATTCGGAGCAATCCCTTTGACTGGAGGGCTTTTATGACTTCATAAATGAAATCTACGACCAAAATTACGTAGGAGTTGACACCTAACATGACACTGTATGCGCACTTTAAAGAAAATCGAAATCCCGGAGGCCTTATTATGGCCCCTATTTTGAAATGGGCCTGTTGCAAACTTTTGCTAGAGCAAAACTAAGAGTTGTTTCTTATAGATAATGCCTCAAAAATCACGATGAGCGCATCGGCAAACTCTGAAATGCACTCATAACTTCACAATCTGCGTAAGAAATTTGCGGTTTTTTGAGCTTCCCGCTTCAAAATCGATACTACGGCACAGGTGAACATTTTGTAAGAGGAGTCGTTCCATCGCCGGCAATAATCATCATAGCCGACGCCAATCCGCCAAAACACGTTTGATGGGACGAGATAACACCTGAACTGGATTAGACCAGATAACAATCGGTGTGTTAACGTTCATATTTTCCACGCCCGAATGGATTGACCTTGAACTCTCCTTGAATTACGCGCGGAACTGCGTGCAAGCGTCGGCCATGATGAATATCGCCGACGATGGAGCGACTCCTCTAACAAAATGTTCACCTACGCCGTAGTATCGTTTTTGAAGCGGGAAGCTTAAAAAAACGCAAATTTCTTAAGCAGATTGTGAAGTTATGAGTGCATTTCAGACTTTGCCGATGCGCTCATCGTGATTTTTGAGGCATTAACTACAAGAAACAACTCTTAGTTTTGCTCTAGTAAAAGTTTGCAACAGGCCCATTTAGGCAATTTTTGGCAATATGCACGAATAGCTATCTACTGACACTTGATTAACTATAAATGTATAGAATATGCATTTACAAGCCACAAAAACAGCCTGACTTGACTTTTTCAGCGCCTTGACCCGAAATTCCCGCCAAAAAAGCGAAAAATCGCATTTTCTCTATATCGGCCAAACTACAGATTTCGCGGTTTGTTGTTCCTCAATCAGTAGGTCTTCTAGTTGACATTACTGCAAAAAAATCGCGGGTGGTATGTTGACCGCATTAAAAGTGTTAAAATCGTACTGTGCGCTCATCTAGCAGCTTTTGAAAATTTACTACTATCTCTCCATTGTGTATTTCTCTTTGTTCAGTAATTGGTCATCTTTGCCTTTGCAGCTGCTTGTTTTTGGTTGAAATCCTCTCCTAATTCTATTCATAGCTGTATAAAATGTCCTACTTCCATTTTGTTTGTTTAAACATTCTATTTCTTCTGGTTGTTGGAGTGTTGATTCTTCCTTCTTTCTTATGAGCAACCTATTTACTCCTCCTCTTGTTTTAAGGTAATCTTCGTTTCTTCTTATGTTTCTTTGCAGCTCTTTTCTCTTGTAGCATTTTTCTTTTCCATGATGTCTCCGTATTCCTCATCAATCCATACCTCTGTTCCCTTTGCTGCTTCTAGTTTTGCTTTCTCAGTTGCTATCCGAAGAACTCTGCACATAACGGGGGGCTCAGCGGCTCCTGGTAGATTTTGATAAAACTTTAATTTATTGAAATTTGATAAAGTTCAGTATTAGCACACAGCCAGGAAAATTAGCTCATTTTAACGAGAAGCCGAGATATTCGCGATTGAATCCTGACTATTTCCTATCACATCACAGTATGACAGAAGACTTACGAATCCCCTCTCCTCTGGTTCTTTGGCGTTTCCGGTCAGATGTCACACACACTTAGGTGTGCTTGTACATTCAGCCAGTCCAAAGGCCCTACGCTCTTCCTCTCCCCGCATCTGCCGATTCTGTTTCAGCAACTCTTTGGTCATTTCAGAGGAGAGGTGCGAGAAGTAGAGGACTCCATATTTCACTGCCCGAGCAGCTGCCTGGAGGAGATAGAGGGTCTCCCGGCTGAAGTCCAAAGTGTTTAAGCACAAGGAAAGGTGCGCCCATTTGTCTCCGGTACACAGAAAATTTTCCGCGTTTAATCGCAAATATCTCGGCTTCTACCCGTTAGAATGAGCTAATTTTTTGGCTTTGTGCTAATAATGAACTGTATTTCAATCTAGTAAAGTTTCATAAAAATCTACCAGGAGCCACTGAGCCCACTGTTCTGAGCAGGGTTCTCTCCTCTGGTGTTTTACTTCTTTCTCCCATGCCAGTTTACTAAGGCATTTTTATACTTCGTTTGTATTTCTTTATACTTGCTCAGGTTTTCGGTGACCCAATGTTTTATTTCATGCATTGTTCCCTTCATCACATTGGCGACTTTTTCTCTCACTTTGACTTTTACTAAGGGCTGGACACACGCTCAAAGTGAAGCTTCAAAGTGGTGGCTGTTCAGTCAAATGTTGCGCATCGATGCGTCAAAATAGGGTAATCAATGGCAACACTTGGCTGAACAGCCACCACTTTGAAGTTTCACTTTGAACGTGTGTCCAGCCCCCTAGGAAATGATTTGAGTCACACTTGAGCCCTTTGTAGCCTCTTGCATCTAACATCAAAGGCATGTGTCTTAAAGATACTAGAATATGATCAATTTGATTTACATCTTCATTTCCTGGGATTTTTCATGTTCAAAAGTGGATTCTTTTGTGATTGAATGCGCTGTTTTTTTGACGAAATTCTGCTGCAAACCGTACCATCATTTTTCCGTTATCGTTATTCTTTTCATGCAGTGTGTGGATTCCAGCTACTTCTCTTTGGTCTCCGCTCTCACCAACTTTTGCATTGAAGTCGCCCATAACTATTAACACGCCGTGTTGGCTTGTTTTAGCACACAATTTTACAAGTGCATCACTGAAATTTTCTTTTTCTGTTTCTTCTTTCTCTTCTGTTGGTGCATGTACCGATGTTATAGTTATATTTCTACATTTTCCTTCTATTCTTATTTGCATATTCTGTGGTTGACATTTTCGTACTCCAGGAGGGTGTTTCTTATCTTTTTCATATTAAAAATCTTACGTATCCTTGCACCAAATCGTCCGATGCTCTCACTTGTCCCACTATGCATATTGCTGAATTCTTTCTTGTTCATCCCTATTTCTCCTTGCCACCCAATTTCTTGCACAGCCATGATATCAGCAATGGCGTTTTCTTTTATTTCTCTGGTGACTTCCATCATTTCACTGACTTGTTCAGATTCTTACATTCCATGTAGCTAGTCGGATGCCTTTGGTTTTTTTTTCCATTATTGGTTTTCTTAGATCGATTTATTTGTGTGTTCTGTGGGTACCGAGGCTTTGTCTTGGTATTCATAACCAGGGTATGTTCACGTGGTAGGGTTGCTAGCCCTACGCACAACCCTCTTCCTTTTCCTGGGCTTGGAACCAGCCAGAGAGGAATAAGTCTTAGAATTGTACCTATGTTTTGAAAATTTCTACGATTTTTGCTGGTTGCTTAAAATTTTGCCCCCCCCCCTCCCACGCCTTTCCCTTGTACGTCTTCAGTTCAGTGTGTATTGTATGTTAACTCAGCCGTTATTCCTTCTTTCAATGCGTTTATAACTTAAACTGCCAGTCAAGTAAACCTCATCTTCATATTTGCCGCAAAGCAATTTCGTTGATAGGTAGGAATATTCTGATTACTTCATAACGGTTCACAATATCAACAAAAATCAACATAAGTCAAAATATACAGCTAAAAAGAAACTATACGAGTTACTTTTACTACTTATGAGCAAGTTCTGTTCATTACTCTATGGGTCATGGGCCGCCTCAAAACGTCTACTGTTTCGATTGCCACTTGTTTTATTCTTCTTTATGTATTAGTGTGGTTTTTAAATTTTACCCTAACTTCACACATCTCATTAATTTGCTGTTACAGGGATCTTGTAGCAATCCAAGATCGAGAGATCTGTTGTTATTCAATCTCTTGCAAACAAAAGGATAACATCGATATCACACTACAGTGGTTAATCGCTCATTCCAAAGCCAACTCTCAAAAGTAATGAACTTGTTTTAGTTTTGTAACAGGTGAGGATCACAGTCATTTATGATGTGCCGACAATGGACCACTTCGACAAAGAAGAATCCTTGCCAAATAATTTTATGCCCCTCTAGAATCAAAAAGACGATCTGCTATCTTGATTTTGTGCTTCTACTTTTCAATGCTTAACTGAAGATGTCAGATTTTCTGTCACACTCTCGACGTGCACAAACTGATTTGGTGTAGGCCCTAAGAAATAAGAGCCAGTTTTGGTTCATAGTGTATTTACTTGTAAATTTTTAAAAGGAAATGCAGTGGACTCTATGAACATATCCACAGTTTGCTTACAATGAAGGGCCTGCAGCCTGATTGTTGAAATTTTTTGTTTGTCAGGACGACATAGATGACATAGGTTAAAAGGCAGAGCGTGATTGGTCAGCTATGTCTTATTGCTGCTTTGTCGTGCCTATGTCGGGTTGAACTCAGGACAAGCTAACGGCACCTCATAAGTTTCCGACAGTATGTCGTCCATTCCACCTGACAAAGGCACGACAAAGCAGCGATAAGACATAGCCAACCAATCACGCTCCGCCTTTTAACCTATGTCATCTATGTCATCCCGACAAACAAAAGATTTCAACAATCAGGCTGCTGAATAGAAATCTCTCTTTCATGTTTAAAGCGATTTAAATGACTTGAATAGTATTTAAATGATAAGATAAATAAGAAATTCTTTTGAATAAATATTCATAACAATAATAATAAAATCAAGAACTATGAAAATGAATTATGCAAGTGTTATTATCGATCAAAGTATTGTAATAGACCTGGGGTGAGTTTGGTGTTGTGTCCCGGAGCCCTGAGCCTATCTGCCTTGAGGGCGCAGCGTAGCTCTATACAGGGGAAATAACCACTAACACGTCTCTGATGGGGATCCCACTTTATTCCCCTAACACTTATGAACTAAACAGAACACGGATGAACACTCGAACTTCGTGACTACGAAAATGCACTCAACACAACAACTAGGCAGGCCTATCTCCGAGTGCCTAGGGCATTGGACCTCGGCGAATGTATTTTCTCCTAAAACACGTAGCCGACTGCCCAGAGTCAAAGCTGAAGCCGGCGGAACTTAGCTCCGGCCCTGAAAAGCCGGCGGAACTTAGCTCCGGCCCTGAAAAGCCGGCCATGAGACATCACTCGCCGCCAACCAAAACTCAAAACACTCGGTACCAAGGACATACAATTTCCCCGGAAATTTCGTGTGATCCATTGCAGTATCGGGCTTTAAGCTATCGACTTCGGCCCAAGTATCGATCTTTGAGCTATCAAAATGTAACCTAACCTAACCAAAGTCTGGTTGTATCAGGTGACCTAACCCAAGTGCGGTGGTGTCGAGTAACCTAACCCAAGTTGAAAGATTTACAACGTTGTTGAGTAATCTAACCCAAGTGCGGTGTTGTTGAATATCCTCAACATGGACCTTCGACCTATCGATTTCGACATCGATCTTCTACCAAACTCAAGTCAAACGATTTGCAACGTTGTCGAATAACCTAACCCAAGTGCGGTGGTATCGAGTGACCTAACAGGAGTGTGAAGGTGACGAGTAACCCAACTATTGATTTGCTACCTATTAAAGAATTTTACAGCATTGCCTAAAAAATTGAATATTTAAATTATTGGTTCAATTTGATCTCATCGCCATTCGATGTATCGATCTTTGTCTTACGGCGTTGCCTGATGGTGCAAAAAATTACTTATTTAAATCATTGGCGCGAGTTTGTGACAAAGACATGAAGCCGGAGCATTAAATGCAAAAAATGAAGCTACTTTTCAACTGGAGTCCCTTTATACCCAGAGTTAAGACAACTCGATTATCAGCTGACTGGCAGCCGTCCTTGGCTGGCCATGGAGGCACAAACGAGTGCACCCAACGAACGATATTGAGGGATAAGGTCAAGGATAAGGAATCCTGCGATGTCTGTCATCCAAAAACAATGACATCAACAAAATTGATCAATTAAATAGAAAATGAGATTGGTTTGTAAATTATTTCTTAATCTATTTTCATTTTGGACTGATAGAAATAACAATTTACCCTTGATAAACCACAATTAGGTAATATTTTCATTATTTTTGTTCACATTCGAGTCACCGCCATCTTGGTGCACTCGTTTGTGACTCCATGAGCGAGAACCAATCAGAATTGGATTTTTTTTTAGGCCACTTTCAGCCCAACTAAAGGTGAGTGGTCGTAACTCTGGGTATAAAGGGACTCTATTTTCAACCACCTCTACTATTGGCTAGAGGATTGGCGGCGAAATTGGGACACGTTTGAAATTCAAATGTAGGGCGGGAACTGAATAAAATTGTGTAAACAATATATTCTAGGTTGATTTTTGCCCAAATTCTCTTACCCACTTATATTTTTTTAACTTTAGGTTACTTTTGGTCCGTCATCGACCGATTAATTTCCTTTGGGGGTAACGATCATCTAGGACTGTAACGGTCTGTTCGACCGGCAGGACCACCATGAGCAGAAGAAAAACTAACTTTATCTGAGATCTTTGCTTGTTACCGAGCCAAAATAGGTGTATTATAAATAGTCGCAGTCCCAACTTTCTCAGTATATTCGTTTTAGCCATTTAAAACACGTTTAGAAGAAGAAATGTGGAAAAATCAAGACAAGTTCAAATCAAACCGTTTCCCGCCATGGATTCCCGCGCTCATTTACACACTCACGCAAGCACCCAGCGCCAAACCAGGCTTCACTTTTTCCCCGTGCTTTCAGATACGAGCACTCCGTCTTTATGCCGTTGGTCAGTTACACCGACGATCGAAGGATCAAAATGTAACCTAACCTTTCTTGATTCTAGCGGCATCAAGTCCGAGCGCTACTTTCGACACTCTCAACTGTTGCTGATGGTGCAAATTAGAGTCCCTTTATACTGAGAGTCAAGACAACGTGAATCCATTTCTGATTGGTTCCCGTATTTTTAGGCCTCCTCAGTGTCACAAACGGGAATAAAGATTACATTTTCACCGATTGCAAAAATTGTGATCTGGAATGGGCCAGGGAATTACGGTTTCGGCAAGGAACAAACGGAATGAGAGAAGGAACAGAGAAAGGAATTTGAGAATGGGCCAACCAAAGATTACGAAAAACGTTCAATTTCTGTAATCTTTATTCCCGTTTGTGACTCCATGAGGGGGTGTTGTCTTGACTCTCAGTATAAAGGGACTCTAGTGCAAATAACACAGCACAACAAAGTTCGGGTTTTGGTTTGTCCTTCGAACCAAACCAATTTTTTTCAATTCCTAGGTGCTAAAGAAGCCCGAAAATGGCCATATTAACTTCAGGAAAATTGGCTGGTCCTCAGGGCGCCGCCATTTTGAATTTTTCAAAATTGAGAAAACCCCCCGATTAGATTTTTGCAATTATCTCCTCATCGGCTCATCTCACGAAAAAAAAAACAAAAAAAAAAAACCAGCGGAAAGAGCATAAAATTTCCTACCGAAGTTATCGTCCTTTGTTTTTTCTGACTTAATTTTTCGGTCGTGAAATTAACGTTTTCTTCAAAAATTAGCTTAAAAAAGGCGCATATTTGCTGATTTTATGAGAAACTTTGCTTCATGCCTCCAGTCACGATTATCTAAGAAAAGAACTGTTACGCTCATTGAAAAGATCGTAAAATTTACTTCCATAAAACATGTGTCAATAGTTCCTGAACTTGATTTAATACTGTGAAACAGTAGTTTATTAGCTCCGTCCTTAAAATGTGATTTTTTCGACCATTTTCCTTAGAATCATGAAAAAAAGAGAAAGAAAACCCCTAAAAGCGTGACCCGAACTGTGTGAAAAGGTGGCAAAATAGTGCTGGGTCCAAACTATTCAGAAAAGAAACTAAAAAGTTCCAAAATTTTCAATTGGAGTCAAAAATTTTGAGCTCTAATGGATAACCAGTACGGAAGTTCATAACTGAAGGGGAAGAGCGTTCAGCTTAGGCAGGTAGCATTAGAATATTCAGTAGAGGTCACGGCGGGAGATCTATAATTTTGGGTCTTGTTATAGACCTCGTCAGTAGATCACAATCGTCAATGAGATCAAAAGCCAAAAAGTTCAACAATTTTCAATCAGAGTCAAACATTTTGAGGTCCAATGAGTACCAGTACGAAACTTGCCATCTTGCAATACATAACTTGTACTTCGAACTTGAGCTTTGATGCCATCTTGGATTTTGCGAGATTTTAAGGTGGGTTCACATGACGAGTGTGATCTACTGATGAGGTATTAAAAGACCCAAAATTATAGATCTCTCAACGTTACCTCACCTTAATATTCCAATGCAAACTGCCTGAGCGGAACATTCTCCCTCCTCAGTTTTGTACTGACACTCATTAAAGCTCACAATTTTTGACTCTGATTGAAATTTTTTAACTTTTTGGCTTTGTTCCACCCCCCCCCCCTCCTCCAAATAGTGTGGACCCAGCACTATTTTGCCACCTTTTTACACAGTTCGGGTCAGGTTTTTAGGGTTTTTTTCTCTTTTATTCGTGATTCATAGGAAAATGGTCGAAAAAATTATATTTTAGGGCGGAGCTAATAAACTACTGTTTCACAGGATTAAATCAAGTTTAGGAACTATTGACACATGTTTTATAGAAGTAAATTTTACGATCTTTTCAATGAGCATAACAGTTCTTTTCTCAGATAATCGTGGCTGGAGGCATGAAGCAAAGTTTCTCATAAAATCAGCAAAAATGCGCCTTTTAAAAGCTAATTTTTGAAGAAAACGTTAATTTCACGACCGAAAAATTAAGTTAGAAAAAACAAAGGAGGATGATTTTGGTAGGAAATTTTATGCTCTTTCCGCTGGTTTTTTTGTTTTTTTCGTGAGATGAGCCAATGAGGAGATAATTGCAAAAATCTATTCGTGGGTATTCTCAATTTTGAAAAATTCAAAATGGCGGCGCCCTGAGGACCAGCCAATTTTCCTGAAGTTAATATGGCCATTTTCGGGCTTCTTTAGCACCTAGGAATCGAAAAAAATTGGTTTGGTTCGAAGGACAGAACCCATGTTGACCAGTGATAACAAATAAATACATTTAAATACTGGTGCTACTTATCGAACCTAAGTTCGGTGGTGACCAGTGACGCAGGTAACCTTTGTTCCGTGCGGTGTCGAGTTCGGAAAAGATCAGAATTAGACCGTATAGTTCACAGAGTAAGCCCCTAGACAATAGTGGAGTTCAGGGTCTGCTGGGTTTCTGAATTTCGGATTTGGAGGTACACGTAGATATGCCTCACAGAGGAATTATATCGGAACCTCAGACTTAGTGCACCGGAGTGTGGATTTCAAATTTGTGCTGCATTTAACGCACATCATGTCGACGGGTGAAATGCTCACTCGAAGTTAGCTTGTGCCATTTGTTTGGTGACAAGAGACGCAGTTCGAATCCCAGTACTTTACGGGTACTACCAGGAAATCGATCTAATACGTAAATTTAATGCTGATTTTGAGCGCACTTTGAGCGTTCACTTTGAGTCTGATACTTTCTGCTCCGCCAAGTTGTGCCTGCAAGTACTCTTCTATACCGTCGATCTCGTAAGCTCCGATCGGAAACAAAATTCCTGTTAAATTCTCGTCGGGGTTCTCGGAGTAGATGAACAGTCTGTCGATGTTTGGGATGTAATAGTAAGTGACAAAACCCGTAATCCCGAGCTCCTGAGGTCCGTCCAACTCGAAAGGTCTTGGTAGCGCTGACTCGAGCACGCTGCTCCTACCAGTCAACATAAACTTGTGAATCTACAACGTATGACGTTGAACGCCACATGTGTGAATCAGGAAGACCTCCAAAATGAAAAACGTTTATATATCATTCAAATTCACCAATTTCATCCATTTAGTTCTTGTTTTGACTTGCCATATAAAACCTTAAGTTCACAAGTTACTTATTCTTCATGTAATTTAATGATGTACCTGCCATGCTGTATCTATAAATGCAGATTAAATACGCAGTACAGGTGTGTAGCACTGTATTTAGGGCAGTAAGGCTGAGGGCCCTAGCGCAAACCTGTGCTCCCCCCCCTCGTTGTATGAATTAGTCAAAAAAAATTAGAGGTGAATTCCGACTCCCCTCCCCCTCCAACACTATCCTTTATATGCTAGGTCCTCGTTCAATTACAAGTCCAAACTGTAAAATCAGTCCCAGTCTCTTGCTCCTCCTTTCCCCCTTACTCATTTTTCAGGAAAAACATTAGGGTAATTTTAGAGGCTTTTCACGAAACAGGCAATTTTATTCATGAAGGCATAACCCTTTTACATTTTTTATCATAATATAAAAAAAGTCATGTGGTGGGGGACCTGAAAAATCACCCTGATCATCTCCCTAAATCAGGAGTTGCAGCTGGATAAAGAGGCTCCGATGTATGAACTTTTTGCACCAAGTCAATGAAATTATGTTACCTCCAATAATGCGCTACATTCAGGGTGTCTACTGTACGGGAAAAGTACAGATACACTGAAAAAGCAAGAATTTCGAAAGGTTGGTACGGAGGCACGGCACTGGTGCAGATTTTCCGTTAAATATCCGGAAATTCGAGACTTTATTGATAAACTGCAAAAAGTAGCATTTGGGGTATGCGATTCTCATTTATTAAGTTCCTGATTCGATTCCTCAAGTCTTTGGTTTATTCCTTTGTCATTCTATCATTCCTCTTTCCCAATCCAAATGCAGTTTATGCGTGTGAGGTGAAGCAAAAGCATGGAAAAGGTAAGGGAAAAGCAAGGGTTTTTAAGAATCGCAAAAAAAAAAAAAAAAAAAAAAAAAAAAAAAAAAAAAAAAAAAAAAAAATTCAGGATAGTAAGAAAAAATGCAAGGGAAAGGTACTGAAAAAGTAAGGAATTACTGGCAGGTGACAGGGTGCCAAAAGACACCCTGTACATTACTCAAAAAGAATCTTAATACCTTCTCGTGACAGAGAAGAGGTCTTAACCCAGAGAGTTTGAAGAACTTTTCTTCCTAAGTGCATCCTTTAGCTTATCGTAAGCGTAAAGCATTCCTTTTGGTTTATGACAGATCTTTGAAGGGGATAGTTGGTCGTTCTGTTGATCTTTTAATGTCCCCCCCCCCTTCCCCTAGCGCAAAAAAGGGTGGTAGAATCCTCTGTGATCTTGCTGTGATGTATGATTTTATTATTTTTGCTTTTTTCACTGACAAGATCCAGAGGTCAGACCCACAAACAACTGACTTGTTTCTGGCTAAACATTGGCCCCATTATGTAACCCTTTTTCCTCAAGTTACCTTTGGTTTTTGATTTGCTAGTTTATTTAAGTTGATACTTCCTGATTGTCATATTGTCACTGCATGTACAAGATTTCATATTTGCCCAATTAGAAGTTCAATTTCTTCTTCTTCTTCTTCTTCTTTTTTTTTTTTAAACAGAGCTAATCCGAAAACTCAGGATGAAGATGCTGAGAAGAGGATAGATCATGTGCCCAAATTGAGTAGCTTACTTCAAGCTTGGAGGCCATGCAGTGTTGGCAGTGGATCATTCAGAGCTAAGCTACCAGTACCGTTTAACGGCCCTGTATAGTCTGCAACAAGTACAGTTCTGTTTTATTTGCTTGCATTTTGCCTATTTTTAACCTCTTTGTCTCAGTATTCATTTCGGAACTTTCGCTATTATATGAGAGAACAGCTTCTTGTTTAACTTTTAATTTTTACTTTTCTCTGAACCATGATCCCTGTTTGTGCAAAATTCTTTGTCTTAATCTTTATTCTTTTTATTAATGTGATAATTACTTTGTTCTATACTGTTTTATATTGCAAATCTTTTTTAGAGAACATAGTCACTTGTAATTCTATAAATGTTCATGATTCATTTTGAAGCTGCCCAAGTATAATGACTTGTTGCAGAAAGTAATCGTGAAGGTGATTGGTCCTAGAGTCTTATTTTGATCAAACTAACACTAACTGCACCATATCAACAACTAGATCTTAAATATGAACCAACTAACATTTTTTGCCCATCGGAGGAATACAGTCTATTGAAATTCCAAAAGACACTAGAACTGAGCAAAATAAGTTGATGCAAAAGAATTGTAAATAAGGAGAGGAACCGCATTAGCAACGTAGTTGCTACCAAATTTGAATCGCATCCATCAGGAAGGAAGCGAAACGATTCCAGGGTTGTAAAAATCGTGCATCTTCATTTTTATCTAAAGTAAAGTCTAAAATAGCAAAAAAATTTCGTTTTTCTGCCAAAAAATAGTTCATTTCAAAGAATTGGATCATTTAAATTTTATATTAAGCATTCATTCACAATCAGACTTTTTAAAAGCAAAGAAGTTTTACAATTTTGAAAGTACTGTAGTTGTGTTTTGTCCCCTGTGCTAAATGTGATTCATTTGGCTCCTATATTGAATACAATAATTTTCTTTACCTTTCCATTGTTTTAAAATTCCTTCTTTTGACTTTAACAACTGTTGAAAATCATGTTCGGAAATTATCATCTTTTTTTTTTTTCAAGTTAAAATTAGCTCAGATTTTTTTACATAATTAAATAGATTTTCTCATTTTAAACAGCTTTTGACTAGAATAAGACCAGTTCAGATAAAAGGAAAATAATCGCTCTGCATTCACAGCGCAGACTACTCTTTGATTATTTTACTCTTTTATTTTTAATATTTTAACATGTATCCAATTTATTTGTCATATTTAACTCACAAAATGTATTCACACATGTATTTACATTGCGTATGGTAGCTAAGAATGAATTTATTGCTACCTTTTTCACGTTTCTTTTCGGTGATGAAGCAATTTTGAGTTGTGATGCCTCTCCTCTCTTCGAGGCATATTTGCAACGGTTCAAAACTGTATTCAAATTAGTGATAACAGGCCGCAATACTAAGGCTCTTACTTATAGTTGCTCCTTGAATGCTTGGCTTCCTCAACCAATGCAATTTTTATGACTTAAAGAGGTCTCAATGATTGAGGAACGACTGTGATTGCCACATTTACTCACACAGATAATTCAAATATCATCTCAGTTATCGATTTCACCATCCCGCCGTTGAAGTTTTCTTTGAAATTTGGACAAAACTGTAATCTTGCATAGGTGCGTAAAGTAACAGTGTATCTTGTGAGATAATAGAAAGCTTATTACTTTTTATACCTAATCTTAAAAAATGTGATAACATGGCAGCTTTAAGATATCCAAAGATTACAATGAAATCCTTGATATAAACCTGCACCAAATTCAATGTAAGAGTTGACGTAGTCGCGGCCTTTCTTTCTGATTGCAGAGCAAAATGACCTGAAGCCTTAGACTCTTCCACAAAGTGTATTATTCCAAAAAAAAAAAATTATGCAATGACTTCAATTTTCAGCTCAAAGCATAAATTTTCTAGAGTCCATTTGTACAACTGAGGCCTAATCCCGTCCGATTTTTTCTTCTTACTAGGTGTTTGAGGGCAACTGTGGCTATTTGACCTTGCCTTACTCTGAAGAACTTTTTTCATCTTTATTCACTGTCTCTCTTAGTTTATCTTTACTGTGTAGATCTCCAATTAAAGAATTACTTCCCTTTTAGACTTTGTTCCCCCTTCAGCTCTAAATTCCTTAGAATCAAATTATGCCTATGATGTGTAAATTGGCACTGTAAGCTACAGGATCTCATCTTTATTATTATGAAGAATGCACTTACATAAAAGCTGCTTTCACATCGCTTTTTGGCGCTCTCCCAGTAGCCAAAGTTCCCCATCCTCCCAAGAGCCTTCACAGTTGGCTCTCCCTCTTTTCTTGCCAAACCACGATGGGTTTTAAACTCTTTTAATGCGGTCAACACACCACCCGCGATTTTTTTGCGGAAATTTCAACCAGAAGGCCTACTGATTGAGGAACAACAAACCGCGAAATCTGTAGTTTGGCCGTTTTTTTAGAAAATGCGATTTTTCGCTTTTTTGGCGAGTATTTCGGGTCAAGGCACTGAAACAGTCAAGTTAGGCTGTTTTTGTGGGCTGTATATGCATATCCTATACATTTTTAGTCAATCAAGTGTCAGTAGATAGCTATTTGTGCATATTGCCCTAAATTCATATCCTACAATCCACGATTTTTGTGTTTTTTAGGGATCTTCTCGCGTTTTTTTAGGACATTCTGGGCCAAATTGCTAAAAAATTTGAAATGAACTGGCGGTAGAGCTTGAACAATTTACTGAACACATCTTCATGTAATTTAAACGTTAGACACCTACTCCTCCCTCCCCTCCCCCAAGCTACCCTCCTTTCCATCCACAACCACCGTATAGATTATTGTCTTTCTGGGCAGTTTCTCAGTACAGCTGAAAATATTAAGACAGATTAGGTACTTCCAAAAATAATTTTAAATACTTGTTATATACTTGTTAAGAATCAAAATTTTTAAAATTATCAAAGTCACAGCATGGAAGTTTCTAAGGCATTGAAATGGATGAATGACGAGTTTCGATTGGTTTTACAGGAAAAAATAAACATTTTATTCAAAACAAATAAATTCAACAAAAAGTATGTAGCCGTCATTCGATCACCTCGATCATCTCCTCAGTAAAAAAAAAAAAGAAAAAATAAGAATAACAAAAGTAATGATAAGATAAAAATGGACTATCTCATCGGTAAAAAAAAGATAGAATATAACACAGAAATAAATGTTGCACACAAATGTTTAACTTAACACGTGAGAGCCATTGTATTCAATGACAGCTCTCTGTAACTGGGAGGTTTTTATGGGTCTTTGGAACCTTATATTTTGACCAAGTTTATTATATTTGGGAAACTAAGAATGAAGAAAAGCGAGCGACACGATGAACAGGACGAACAGAATATATTGATAACAAGTACAATTGCCCCAAGCAGGACTGTCACCCTAGCAGGGGCTAATCTCCCTGCTTACAGTACCAACCTAACGATACAACAACTCTCCCCTAGTAGTTTTAAAAGTGGAAACTTTTAAAAATAGGACTAGGTAATAGAGGAGATATCAATAACTAATCTATCACATATTATTATTTTGATAGAAGCTTTGAGAAAGGGAAAAAAAATTACAACTTGAGTTCAAAATAATTAGGATGGGCTGAAGCGCCTAGGTGGATTAGACTGTCTGAGTGACTGGCGCTGCGGCAACAGTAGACATTCATGAGTTTTGAGTTTGAGACCACGACCTCGACCACAAGTAGGAGTAGGTCGGACTATGCTTGAAACTGGAGTAACAGGAACATCTGCATGTACAGGCTGTTCTTCAGGTGTATAGAAGCCTAAGAATTCTGGAGAACCGTCATCGGAGCTTGGAGTATTACCAGTTGATCGAACTTTCGAAGTGCTGAGAGGAGGTGTAAGAGTAGCTTTATTGGAATTACTTTGCGTAGCTTGTATATCTTGATGTGGAAGTTGAGCTTGATTATCGGAAGACTTAAGAGAAGATTTTTGTCTAAAGGATCTATAACGAATGTTGTAGGTGGGAGAATTTGTAGTGGAGATGCAATTTTCATTGATGTCAAAATGAACTTTCTTACCACATGAACGTAATTGGTCGATGTGATGTTTATGGATTCGATTGTCATGTAGAATTTTGTAGTGTAATTGACCTATTTTGGATTGAACTAGGCCTTGACACCATCGACTTGCTCCATTGTAAACTCGAAACATCACTTTGTCTTCGATTTGAAATGACCGATATTTTGATTTCAGATTTTTCAGAATGCATTTTCCTAAAGGTTGATGGTTAACTGCTGTGGAGATGGATGGAATTTGAATCGATTGCCGTTTTGACGGGGTCACAAGATCTATTCTTGTGTTAATGGTTCGACCCAAAAAAAGTTGTGACGGAGGTTTACCAGTTGTTTGATGGGGTGCTCGGTGATATCTTTGGAGATAATTATCAATCATGGATTGAAGATTGTTCGGAGTTGCTCGGTTGAGGATTGCTTGTTTTACTGTGTGAACATAACGTTCTACTTGCCCATTTGTGGCTGGATGATAGGGCGCTGAAAATTTGTGAAAGCGCACGCCTTGAGATTTCAAAAATTTCCTGAACCAATCTGACTTAAACTGCGGACCGTTATCACTAACAACCGTTTCTGGAATACCATAGAGTGCAAAAAGTGAATTGAGATGTTTCATGGTTGCTTCCGATGTCATTTTGTTGGTTACAAAAACTTGAGTCCATTTGGAGTAAGCATCAACGACTAATAGCAAATATTTACCATGAAGCGGTCCCGCATAGTCTAGGTGGATGCGGTTCCAAGGTCCTTCTGGATATTCCCAGTGATGCGTGTTAAATTTTGCTGGCATTTTTGCGTTTGATAAACACGTAGGGCAGTTTTTTGCTGTTTGTTCAATATCTCTATCAATGTTCTTCCAATAGACAAGTGAGCGGGCGATACCCTTCATTTTTGTGATTCCTATATGACCAAGATGGAGTTCTTTTAGGAATTTTTCTCTTAAACTTGGGGGAACAACCACTCGATGTCCGAACATTAGGCAACCACAGGCTAAGGTGAAGTCTGCCTCATTCCCTTTGAAACCAAGAGCTGAAAGGTCTTCATTATTTTCAATTGCTTCTTTTATTCTAGAAAGATGAGGATCCTTCTGTGTTTCGACAGCGATTTCATTCGCCGTTGTGGGTAATTGGAGAATTTGGTCATGGACAAAGCGATCAAAATCATCTTGAACATTTTAACAGAATCATTAGGGTGACTGATTCTAGATAAATAGTCAGCGTTTGCGTTAGCAGCAAAAGTTTTGAGCTTGAGGCCTTACGAGAAATTTGATAAGTATGAAGCGTAATTGTTAAGTCTTGAGAGTGAGAATTTTGGGAGAAGGGCATCAGGTGCAAATATGTGCGATACAGCTTTATTATCACAGTACAAGGTGAAGTGACGTCCGTAGACATACTGAAAAAATTTCTTCACGCCCCATACGATGGCTAATGCCTCTCTATCGTTCTGGGGATAAGCACTTTCTGTGGGGGAAAGCGCTCTGCTGGCGTAAGCGATTGGTTTTTCTACATTGCCTGGAAGTTGGTGCGATAGGACGGCTCCCAAACCTGTAGGACTTGCATCTACCGCCAAAATTAGGGGCATATTTGGATCATAGGGTACAAGTACTCGTTCAGAGACCAATTCGGTTTTAAGTTTTCGAAATGATTCAAGGCCTTCTTCGGTCCAAGTGAGTTCGCCGGAGCGAGCAATCTTGAGCATTTCACGGAGTGGGTGAGTCAGAGAAGATAGGTGTGGAATAAATGCATGATAATAAGTGACCTCACCAATGAAGGATTTTAATTCATCTGAACTGGTCGGCAGTTGTGCTTGGAGAACAGCTTCGATGTGCTTGTTTAGCTTGTGCAGGCCCTCGCCGTCAATTAAATGACCAAGAAACTCGATGCACTTCAAAAAAAATTTGCATTTGGAGAGATTAAGAACTAAGCCTGCTTCAGAAAGCTTGCGGAAGACTTCTTCCAAGATTCTGAACATTTCTTCAATTGTGTCTGCAAATAAAAGAATATCATCAAAAAATATAGCTGCACCCTTGGTGTTCAGGAGAATTTCTTCGAGACGTCTTTGCCAAACAGCAGGGACACTAGAGATGCCTGGTTGGGCTCGAAGAGGACGAATGAGACCATGTGTTGGGGTGTTAAGTGTCATTAGTTCGCATGATTTTTTTGTGCATGGAAGGTGCATGAATGCGTCAAGAATGTCCAAACGACAAAATACTTTAGCTTTGCCAATTTTGTTAAATAACTCGTCTACATGAGGAATAGGGTGCTCATCTACTATCAACTGTGGGTTGAGGGTAGTCTTGTAATCTCCGGTTATCCGGATCTTATCACCTTTGACAACTACATGTGTCGGACTTGCCCATTCTGAGTGGGTGACTTTTTCATATAAACCAGATTCAATTTTCTTGTCGATAGTTTTCTTGTACCGTTCTTTAAGGCTATATGGAATGTGACGTGGATACGTAAACTTGGGTTTCACATTTTGTTTTAAATGCCATTCGACTTTGGGACCTGTCATTTCACCGATTTGATCCTTGAACAGTGACGGAAACTTATCGCAGAGTTTGTTTAAACGAGTCTGAAGATCTGGTGTGATATAAGAACTGGATTTAATTTGGTTTATTGATGTAAAGTCTTGAAAAGAAATTAGATCGGAGAAATACTTGATCCATTCACGGCCGAAAAGACTATCAGCGCCAAAAGCGACTACATAAAGATCTAATGCTCTGGTTCTACCTTTAAAAGTAACATTAACAGGTACATACCCTAAAGTGTTAAATTTAGTTTTGGTAAAGCTCGAAAAGTTCTGGCTAGAAGGAAGTAGCTTAGCATGAGGAAGTAAACGGTCTTTGGTTTTAGCACTAATGACAGCTATAGAAGAGGCCGTATCTAGCTCCATGGACAATGGTTGTCCATTGATAAGAACATTAAGACGCATAGGGGGTGGAGGTGCGTTTGCATCACATTGGGTTCAATAAACGTTACCTGGTGCTGAATTTCTGGATTCGTGACACTGAATGCGATAAATATTATCATCCTGTAAGTACTCAGTTTCTTCG